CTGAGTCCCCGGACTGAAGCTGCTCTGCTTGACTGGATTCCAATCAGTAGCCGGTTGTGTGCGGTCCGATTGGCTGTCTCGTTCAAAGCTTCGAAGTCGCGCGGGACTAACAGGTGTCTATTTGTCATCACTGCCTATGCACCCACAAACTGTAGCGATGATTCGGTAAAAGACGACTTCTATCGCCAATTGAACGAGCTCCTTCGACACAGAAGGAGCTCGGACATTGTTGTGCTGGCTGGGGATCTGAACGCTCAAGTTGGAAAGTTGTCCACTGATGAACTGCATCTTGGCGGCCAACATGGTGTAGTCTCCGGTAATGATAACGGTGAGCGGTTACTTCATTTGTGTGAAGATGCTCGCTTTTTTTCTTGCGAGTACTAATTTCCGACACAGCACCCGCCGGAGGGTGACTTGGCGCCCACCAGTCTCGAACCAGCTATGGACGCAAATCGATCACATTGCGATAAGCTGCCGATGAAGAGGCTGCGTCCAGAACTCTCGCTCGATTTGGAGCACATGTGTGGACACCGACCATACACTTGTATGTGCTGCCATGCGGATGCGTTTTGGTGGACGCCCAAGACGACGTTGTGCGCGTATTGATCCCAGCCAACTGGCGAAGCCAGCTGTTCTGAATGCCTATCAAAGTACGCTGTCATGCGAGTTGAGTAAACGCTCACTAGATGCAATTGAAACTCACTGGTCTCATGTTCACCAGACCTTACTAGCAGCAGGAAAATCCTCATGTGGTGAGTCTAATCGCCAACATGGACATTGCGTCTCTTCGCAGTATCCGGAACTTATTGATGCTCGCCAGCATATTCCGGCTGGAAGCGAACATAATGAAACTCACAAAGAGCTCCGTGCTAGCCTGAAGATAGACCGCGAATCCTGGTGGTCTCATCGTACTTCAGGGAGGGAAATAGCCGCTAATCTTGATAACCATCGCGAGTTATTCCGGCTGATACGGGAAACGGGCAGCAGGAGACCTGGTGTTAGTGAAACTATACGTGACGAGAGTGGACAGCCTATCCACAACTTATCAAGACGCTCGGAGCGTTGGCTTGAGCACTTTGGAAGGCAATTTAGTTGGTCGGAATTGTTGGATTACTCGCCGGCCACTGATCACCCCGCTCCGGGGGCTGTCTTCTTGGATCCACCCTCTCACTCAGAAGTCGAACGTGAGATCGGACTGTTGAAGTTTAACAAAGCCGCAGGACCAGATGATCTACCTCCAGCCCTCTTCAAATTCGGGGGACCTGCTCTTGTGGATGATCTATGCGAGTTACTTGTGAAACTGTGGGAGCAGGAAACTGTCCCAACCGACTGGAGCCGCTCCGTCATAGTCCCAGTTCTCAAGGGAGGCTCACGATTGGAATGCGGCAGCCATAGAGGAATCAGTCTTATCTCCATCACCTCCAAAGTGCTCGCCTGTGTCATCCTTCGCAGACTGACTGGCACTTGTGAGAGCCATATTCGTGAAGAGCAAGCCGGGTTTCGTCGAGGTCGTGGCTGCATTGACCACATCTTCACTGTGCGTCAGTTGTTGGAGCACTGTCACGTATATTGGCGGCCCACCGTAATCGTGTTCCTCGATGTCAAAGGTGCATTCGATTCAGTAGATAGACGTGCACTTTGGGACTGTCTACTCAGGAAAGGTGTACCTGAGAAATATGTAAATATTATCCGAGCATTATATGCGCGTAGCTCGGACAGAGTGAGGGCTTACGGCAAGTTGTCGTCGCCCTTTAATATCTCCAGCGGCGTGAGACAAGGATGCCCGCTGTCACCTTTCCTCTTCAACTTCGCTGTTGACGAAGTCATGGAAATCGCGTTCACAGAACACGACTTAGAAGATGTGGAGCTACTCCCAGGAGAACGACTTCTTGACTTAGAGTATGCTGATGATATTGCCTTAATCTGTGACAGCTCACAAACGTGCCAAGCGGCACTGGACATATTAGCACTAGCTGTCAGCCGCTTCCTGCTTTGCTTTGCACCTTCGAAGTGCAAAGCGTTTCTCCAAGATTAGTCTGGACCGCCTCCTACGCTGACCGTTGGTGGGGATCAGCTAGAAGTCATTCAAAAAATTCAAGTACCTGGGAAGTTGTATCAGCGCTCGTGGGAGTGAACATGAGATCACGACCCGTATAGCAAAAGCTCGGGACGCTTTTGCTAACCTTCGCCATTTATGGCGCCGACGCGACATTACTCTCGCCCTGAATGGTAGAGCGTACAATGCAACGGTACTTTCGACCCTACTGTACGGTTGTGAGACCTGGCCCCTTAGGTCAGCAGATATAAAGAGGCTAGTTATGTTCGATCACCGTGCTTTCGCAATTTAGCACACATCTGGCGGGAACACCGAGTAAGCAACGAGCGTGTTCGACGCCTTGTTTAGGGCGCAGGAAAAGGAAATGAACCGCTCAGCACGGTTATTTCACGTACCAGGCTCCGATGGCTCGGCCACATGTTACGCATGCCAGCCCACCGACTTCCGCGACGTGCGTTGTTTGCGCGCCAGAGGTGTGGATGGAAGAAGAGGAGAGGTGGCCAAGCGAAGACTTGGTCGAGAGGAATAAAAGCCATCGAAGCTGGCTTCAGTGGGCGCATCTCGGCTTCCTGGTTTTGATTCGATTGACGATGAATACATTGGGCTAGATACACTTATTGATATGGCTAGGAGCCGACCTCAGTGGCGTTCTTGCTTTGAGTTTCTTTGTCCCACCCCATCCTCTTTAGCGTCCCCCTCCAACCACGATCTCATTATTTAGCATTTTGTAATTTTGCGTAGTAAATTATCTTTTTCTGCTGCATAGTAGCCGGTAGGTAGCTCACCGGAACGATGCTCATCCGTTACCGGTAGCTCAGCTGGCTTGCACCTGTTGCATTTCATTCCCTTTAGGTATTGCGGCACGGTAACAGGTATTTCACACCTCTGGCTAACGTGTATACTGATTCTTATTGTGTAACCCGTTACGCAATCTAGCAAACAGCAGCACACACAACCCATGTCCGTCAACTCTGCATAGTTCCATTTTCTTATTTATTATGCCCTTATCAAAGTCCTTAACCACTGGCTCTCTAAACATCAACAACGACAGGCGGTGAAACATAATTGCTTGCCACAAAACCATGTTAGAGTTGCATCTGTTTTGTCCAGCTCTCGTGTGATTGTTCTAAAACGCGACAACTAAAACGGGTATGCGACGCGACCACGCGCACCACCTTTCCGGAACTCCACGATGTTCTCCCGAGTATAGAAGTGGCTATTTCCAGCCGCGTATAAAGTACTCTCTGACTAGTCATTTTAATAAATTAAGAACAACACTCGTTTAAAACAGATAGTTTACTACCAGCTGAATAATTTACAAATCGGTCAAATGAACAACACGTCCATAATTCTTAGTGATATGTTGAACTATTTGCTCGCAATGCTGCTGCGTCGCTAAGGCTTGTGTTTCCGACGCCGCTTACTCAAAAAGGCGAATCCGCCACTCGCTTTTACTCAGAACGCCTTCAGGGTCCCACAGGCGCATCTCGAAGTGCCATCCCTTCATTGTCTGTTTTATATGAGCCTTTATTATGCTTCAGATGCCCTCGATGGGATTGAGGGATGGAGAGTATGGCGCAAGTCGTAGTAGTCTCCCAGAGCGGTACGGTTCCTCCAGGAAAACGCGCTCTAGGTGCCTGTGACAGGGCGCGTTGTCACAAATCAATAGGCACCTTTCCACAAACCCTGCTCCGGTGGTATCGAGCAGTTTTCGCAACAGCTGTGCGCACCTCTGCTTGTTGTAACTTCCTATGAAAACCGAACACTCTATCAAGCCAACGTTTGTCATGGTGCCGACAAAATGAACATTCGGTCCCCGGCTGTTTGCCACAGTACACTACGCTCGACTACCACGTCGTGAACGGCCAGGAGTGCGGGCGCAAAACAAATTACAGTTTGTCTCATTAATCCACCTCGATTGTCTTCCTTCCACCTCGTAATCCATGAACTGCAAAACAAACGACCTGTGTTGCTTCTTGTTCTCCATCTTGTTCCTGGACTCTTTCTTGGTGTGCAGCTTCTTCATTGTTATCAGTCTACTATCTGTCTCGTGTGTCACATTTGGTGCTCAGCTCATCTTGTGTTTTCCATGACTGTATCAAACCGAAAATAACATCACCAGAACAAAAAGATGGTGAGTTTAAAACAAACTCATGTTTATTTCATGTGTTGCGAATCCAACGCAAATTTGATCGATGTGAATTCCGTGGACTGCTCAAAAGAGCGGTTTCTCAGGTGCCGGAGAAGGCACTATTGCACGCGGAATGGAAGCACCATGAGTATGTTCTCATTCAGTTTACTAATCCAGACCAATAAAGCGGCGTATGTGGTACGTTTGCCTGCGTGTTGAGTAATCTTACATTTCAGAAGTAGATGTTGCTTGAGCTTCCCGGCGTCGATGCGCCTGATGTGAATGTTGACAAAGTGCCTACCTGGCTATTACCCACTATCTCTTCCATACTGGCTCCAGGAGACAGTTGGTCCTTGCTGGTGGGGACGGGGTGCACCGTATTCCTGACGATGCTAAGCTGAAAGAGTGGTTCCATCCTGTCTGGAACGGGCTCCAGTCCAGCCACCGCCATGTGTACGTCTAGTGTGCATGATTTCCCAATTAGGCCGGAATGATTCTGTTCTGCTTGTTTAAGGAATGTGGGCCGGCTCCATTGATAAAACGTGGCTCCTATTCACATGCCTCCCGGTCTTATTCCTTCGGGTTTACACCGGATATGGGGTATGTGGGTGGAGCTTTGGGTGGTGTAGCGCAAGCCACCCATGGCCCTCTGTAGGCGCAGGCATCCTGTGACTGTCTCCATGGAGGTCACAGTGACAGGCAAATCCGTATACGGACGTTGCCAAATCATCCATTGACGTATATCCCTATTTGCACCAAAAAACAGCACTGTTGCCTCAATTCCTTACTCTTCATGTTTCACATTGCTTTCAGCCAGGATGTGGAGCCTATTGCTGCTCGTCTTCGTCGGCGCACTTCTCGCATATCTTACTTTGAGCCTCAGCTGAGTCAGTAAGTTAATATATTCTACTTGCTGATTCCGCATTAGTGGTTTTCCGTTACTACTACTTGTTGAAGGCTGTCTGTCTCATAAATATATTTAGAGTGGATTTGCGCCACACGTGAACCTATTGATACCACGTGCGTCCCATATCTGATACATGGCTCAGTCGTGGAAGCAGCTGACGCACTCGCGTGTGGTCCTTTTGTTGTTGTTGCTGAACCTCTCATTCATCCATCATATCCATGACTTCATTAATAGTAATATGATAACCTCTTTCTATCTCTTTAGACTGCTTAACAAATCCCAATATGGTTTCCTCGATAATCGGTCCAGTACTGTTTGCCACTTGCACTACCTGGATTGCGTCACCGAATCCATTGACTCCAAGTATGGAATTACCCTTGTATCATTGGTTAAAAAAACGATTGATCGGTTGCTTCCCATGTGGCTACTGAAAACAGTGTACCCTTAAGGGTCCAGGGCCCATTACTGAGTTGGCGTTAGCAGATAGTCGCTGGCTAAGCATCACTCTCCCCCATGTCCGATCACCTGTGGTTTCGCCCAAGCAAGGGTACTTGGTCCTTCGCTTTTCCTACTTTGTACCCTGGCTGTCGCCAGGGTTGTCCTCTCTCTGCTTTTTCCCTCAACTTTGTGATTGAAATGATTATAAATGATTCTGGGCCTCTTCTGGGGCGGGAGTTATGTTAGTTGAATATGCATATGACAACTCTCCTAGATATGCTGATTCGTAACGCTACAATCTTTAATGTATGCTTTGCACTTTAAATTTGCAAAGTATTCTTGCTGGACTGCACGACACGCCACCTGTTCTCGTTATCACCGAACAACCCCTAGATGTGGTGGTTCGATTCATTTGCTTTGGTATTTTTGTATCTCCTGGTGGTCACTGGGAGGTTAGTTCGCGCATCATTAAGACCCGTTTGCTTTTACAGAGGTTCAATCTTCGCTTTAAGCGATGGGTTATCTGCTTGTTAGTGAAAGCTGGGGTGTATAGCGCAAGATTGTAAGCGACAAAGTTCGCTTGGAAGGTTCGTGTGACGCGTTTCCACCGGGATCAAAAAAACAACAAGTCCGGAGCTGGATAACGGTACTATTTACAAATGAATAAATGACCATATACAATAATTACTCTAACGATGATGGTTCCAAACTCAGAACAGTTACGGTGACAATTGTGTCGGTCCGAGCCAACAAATCTAGCTTCGGAGCGCCGCTGTACAAAGTAACGGCACTAAGGTGCACAGCGTTTTTATAGGACAGATAAGGCAGTGGGATTGGTGGTGGATCACGCAGGTGGGAATACGAGGTGGATAAGCCTCGAGGGGATATGGATTCGGCCTATTTGGAGCATTCACCAACTGATTCATAGATGCACATACACAAAGGAAGGAATGGTCCGACAGGCATAATCGGTGGGGCGCGGTCATCAAACGACCCTAATCGGTGCGGAGCATGATGTTGAAAATCATAAACAAAATGAGACGAAGATGTAGTGGCAAGTTGGAATCGTGGAAATTCGAGCTAATAACTATTTTAGGGAACCTAGGATGGAACGGGTCCATGAAATGTAGTAAGCCGGTGCTCTTGAGAACAGCCGAGTGCTATTTCATTTATTCCGGAACACCGGTCCAGGGTAACCCTCAGTCAGTGTAATGATGGATGTGAAAAATCTATTCTGATTCACATCGACTAGCCCGCTTGGCGGAATATTTTGAAGAGCATTTCGACAGACTAGCTGCAGTACTGTCACTTACTGTATCAACTGAGTTCACATGGGAAACTGATGCAATATTTCCAGCTTTAGAGACTGCCCAACATGAACTCGCTATGTCGAATCGTGTTGGAGGTTGGGTTTCACAACAAACTTGGAGGTATAGTCGAAAATGTTTGATGGGGGAATTGTGATCGCAATGTCCGAATATTCTCTACAAAGCTGGTGTTGCCGTGTGGTGGATCAGAGACCTGGCGAATTGGCGGTGTCTGATTACTGGTGCTTTCGGAGTATTGCATCTGGTGGGCACACCTTGTGAATCCATTACTGTTTGCTGAAACTCCACTGTATCCCACTGGTGTGCTTTTTAAAACCTATTCGTTTACATCCATCTCTGAAGGGACCCGTCCGGTGCACAATGACTTGCTTCCGCACTTCCCAAACCAGACAAACTTTGGTGCGAATTCAAAAACTCCGGCCAGTTGTTTAGGGTCATTTTGAAGTACACGTTGTGTGGATGGATTGCGACGCGCAATCTCAAGGTTGACCGCGATTCCCATTGAAGTGAACCTTGGTCTTTCGATCACGAGGACCGTAGCTGATGCAAATAGAAATTGGGTGTTGCCCACTCGAAAACATTGCCAGTTGGTTTTCGGCAAGATACCATCTGAGGCATCACTTAATTGTTTCCTAATGCTCAACCACTTACGTTAGCAAGTTCACATCTTCTGTATGCCCCTTTTTCGACGTGCACTATTCGCCATTGCTGCACCAAGTTTGGCGAAGCTGCCAGGTGACCATTTGATGATATGGTGGAAAAACACGAAGAAATTGGCCGAGAGTCTTATTCAGGCTGGTGTGTGACTTCCGGAGGAAGACCTATAGTACTAGTAAATACTAGTCCGAGAAGACGCGCGTAGTCTGGCACAGATATCAGAAAGCAAATGTAGTCGGGCGTAGCGGACTATATTCGATTGGCTACAAAAGAGGCGGATGGATGAAGCGAGACAGGAGTGTACATTAGCGCCGTAACTTCCAAAGCAGACGTGTCGATTCGGATGTAGGCCAATATGGCCGTACTATAACGGAGATTAAAACAAGAAGTATACTGTACAGTTGGTTAGCAATCAAATTGTACATAAAATATAGTACTGTCAAACCTGTCCAAGGCGACCATTCAAGGGACTGACAGAAAGAGGTCTCTTTGGACAGGTAGTCGCCATGGGCAGGTTCATGTAAAGAAACATTACTCATAGGAGAAAATGTCGGGGATGTTTTCGATTGGTCGCTTTAGACAGGTGGTCGCCATATCAGTTTGGACTGTAGTTATCTTTTGAGGCCTTACAGTCTCTTTCGGACATCTCACATTTGCAGAGTCAGTAACGCTGCTCTATTCTATCTCTAGTGTCTTGGTGCTAGTATTCACTGCAATTATTTTCGATCGTTTCCTTTCCTTTGTATTCTTTTTGTCTTCAACTTCATTTTCGTGCTATTCCTACCTATTGTTATCCTGGCGACGCGATTCGGGGCAACTGAGTCCCCGGCACTTCCGTGTCCCGATCATAGTAGCTTAGTTGAACTAACACGCTCACCCTTTTTTCGAATATGACCTACAATTGTTAACTGTTTTACTCTTTAGTCCTTATAACATATTGCAACGCATATTCCCTTTTTACCCATGTCGATGGTCAACTAGTGCAATCAGTGCTGCTTGCTGGCCATTAACAAATGTGTGTATGTCTTACTGTCTCTGTTTTGTGAAAGATTGCGTACAAAGTATCATTGAAGGCGATCCGCTGCAAACTCAAAGACCATTAATTGTGCATTTTACTTGATCGTTGCGTCGCAGCAGCAGCGATATTTCTTGGATGGCGTCGCACTCAAGTTGGTCAGTTTGACGTGACTAAGCATATCTTTCAAAGTTTCAAATCCGGATTTTGGTCTCATTTTCCTTACCAGGAGGCGTACATTTCCACTCTTCTCTTCACAGCCTGGCAACCATATATCTTGTACATCGTGTGTGGTTGTTTGTTATGCATGTTTTGTTTCCACTAAATTTTGCCTTGCAACATTCAGAGCCTACCGTATCGTCCAGGTGAATGTGCCAGTAGTTCGCTCCTCATAATTGAACCGGATGAATAGCTTATTCCTTACACTTGATGCTTGGTACAGTCAATTTTGCGCACGTGCACTCAATCACAGGATTCCTTTGTTTTATTTTAGACTCGTCCGCAGTCATCGGAAGCGGTAATCGGATTCAGTGCCATCACATTGTTCGCTCTTCAACTTGCTTGTCCTTTATTTTCTCTGGTCGATGTATGTATAATAGGTGCCCGTAAAGTCAGGACACTTGATTATCGAATTTTTTTCGTTCAATTAGAATGAAATACAAAACTCAAGTTATTAGCATATTTTTGCTTCCACACATTAAACATGGCTTTGTCAAAGACAGAACGAGTTGAGCTGGGAATTTTAGTGCACGTGAAGAATGGTCATAACGAAAAATAGCAGATGAATTTAATTTGCGTCATTCGATGCGAATTCAACTTAGTTTTATGACGGTTGGTAAGATGATCAGAAAATTTGAGGAAACTGGTAGCACCATGGACAAACCGCGTCCTGTTTGACCAAGTGTAGCAGTCAAAACAAAAAAAACATTGTCTGAAACCTGTACGAGTCCCAAAAAATCAATCCGTTGGACATTTATGGAGTTAGGTTTTCCGAATTCAACTATCGGTCAAATTTAATAACAGCGGAAGTTTCATCCATAGAAGTTACCGATCTTTCATCACTTAACCAATAATGACTCTGATAGACGGATCGAGACATGCGATTGGTTTTCCCACAAATACGGGTTGAATGCATCCATTTCACAGAAGTCTGTCTTCTATTTAACGATGAAGCTTTGTATTTTTATGAATGTTGAGATTAGCAGCCAAAATGTTCTTTACTTGTCACAACAAATTCGGCTTTTGTTTGTTACTCCAAACGGCCAAGAACGCGTAACGTTATGGTGTTTTTGTGGTTTGTGGAAAACAGATATGCTTGGGTCCCTTTTTCGATGCTCGCATGACTGGGAACACTCAGCTTTCTTTGCTGAAAGATCAGTTAATGACCCAATTTAAAAGGCTTGGTGAAGGTCTTTTGAGTGCTTCCAACGGGATGGCGCTTCTGTTCATTTTGCCAGCAATGTGAGAGAATAGTTAAATGACAATTGTCCTAATTGGGTTAGAAGGCGTGGTCATAGTGCTGTTTCCTCGTTCACCAGACCTTAGTATTCTCGGTTTTTTCTGGGACATGCTAAACGAGGACGTGTACTCAACAGAAATCACAGCTACTGTACACTTGACTCCACGAATTAAGGGTGAATGTAGCAAAATTGCTGGCAATGTTTTGTTTGCGTCATGTGCGCGAAACACACCAACATTTGCATTGCATATGATGCCAGTCATATTAAAGAGGTTATCTGAATAGAAAGTTGCTTTTTTATTCGTGTCCAGGCTTTATGGACAACCTGTTTCTTGTTGTTTTAATGTACACCGCTCATTACTCTAATTAGTCAGCTTTATGTTAGCATGTCCACATGCCCGTGGCCGAGAGGACAAAGCGTCTGCCTTGCAAACCTGAGTTCGTGCCTGCGTGAGAGACCGGACGACCCTAACAGTATCCTTAGCTCACGCGTGACTGGCGGTGTTTGCGTGGTGTCCGTACGGCGTACTGCTGGTACCCACTTCCCTCGTTTGTCCGAGATGATCATCAGCTCGTCAGCCTTATATCTCATTGGTCTGGGTTAGACGGGATAAGTGTATATCTAACGATGATTTCCGAGCTCCTAGATCCTGGCAAATTTTAAGTATACTTGTAGCTCATGCCCCGGATCAGGGAGTTGCGTTGTTCTTTGAACCGAGTAATTTTACTGAAAACGTTTATTTACGATGTTAGCGCACATTATCTGTGCTACTTCCCTGGACGACCTCACGTCTTGCACAACGTTTTATGGCTAGGTAGCGGACAATCTTGAAGCACATATGGGGACGGATTGGTATTCAGATCCCTACCAACCATGACAGAATGCTTCGGTATTGCACGACGGTCGTTATGGGTGCCTACGGGTTGGCTCATGTTGATCTACCAAATCTTGTGCCGAATTCTCGTTTGCTGCCATGCGAGTCAAATTCAAGTTGTCCGCGGTGCTCTCATGGTTCGAAGTTCACCGGCATCTTTCCCACCTGAGTTTATCAGGCGTGGAACTGTCACCTGGATTGTGCCATTTCTCATCCAACGTTATCCTTATCCGAAAAAGACTTTGTGGCACATTGAGCCTTTCGCATCACCTGATATAACTGGTGTTCATCGGGGATGACGTAACCTAAACTGAAACTGTCCAACACCTTCCATTGCAATTGAATTAGGCGGGTCTCTATAAAAATAGAGATCATGGTGAATTTACCATGCCCTGTTAAACTTTTATTTTTTGTGTGGTCGAGCAAACGTTGGAGCACACTAACTGTTTAACAAAGTGGACGATCAAAGCTCATAGATGGAATCATTGCAAGAACAACCACGGGATTTGCTGGCGACGAAGATTGCATCCGGGGAGACAATACTGACGATATTCAACATCACACAGATGCGTTATGACTTAAGTGATCGGAATTCCATCGACTTTCCAGCTCGCAGACAACTGCACTTTTACGCTACCTTTTTCGGATCTACTCCATCACATTTCGCTCCACCAGACTTGATTTATACTTATTCACCTCGGGATGACGAGCTGCGTCGTGCAAACATTCTCTTGTTTTATCCGGTACTGCGATTTTCCGTGTTTTACCGATTCACACACAACTTCGCTCTTCTTGTGGCCATTTTCCTTTTCGCGCCTTTTTCGGAGGTGCGTTTCAACGGCATTCGAGCAAATTATAATGCGTTCCGGTCTAATGTTGCGTGAAGCAGCTATAGCACCGTTTGCTTTCCCTTGTAGTGAACTCATCTTAGCCGCGCCACCAGTATTTTCCAGTCACTTGTTAGCTAAGCTTGGGTCGATCAACAGACCTGGCAAGTACAGCCTCGCTTTTAGGCCAACATATGATCCCACTATGTAACGGAGATAACTTATCTGACCAGCACTAGTAATTGCAACTGTAACTTCAATTTTACAGGATGCTACTCGACCTTGCCGCTCGGCGAGTCACCCTCTCAGCTGGCGAATTGAACCACAGCGCTTCGTCAACGATTACGAGGGCAAGAACAAATCGACGTGTGGGCAAAGTTCAGCAGGTTTGTAGAAGTACAACTGAACTGATATACTCATTCTTTCATCTCTTTCCGTCTGAAGTAAAGCGGCACTCACTTTTGTTCTGTACAAGGTATATGTTTCACTCGTACATTGTGTTCAGGGACTATCGCGAAAGTGCGACAGTTTAATGGTTGCATGTGAACTTCCAATAAATGCATAGCTCATACCACATTCATCTACTATAACTCCTGCAACATTTTGTTAGCGGCCAATCTTTAAATACAATCGATGGCATCACGCCCAGTTCCATTGCCCTTATCCTCCTATAAATCATAACAACCGACACACTTATGACAGTATCTGCAATACCGGTCAGAATTCATGCCGCTCACACAATGTCTTCTGCCTAATTGGTCAAAACTTAACCACCAGTGATCTTATTCGCTACAAAAGCAATATGGCACTGCGCAAATCGTTGTGGCGTTCCGGAGTAAATCCGGCAAGCCACCAACACTACAGGCCGCTGCTCCGCCAATCCAGTCGAGACGCAGTCGAAATAAGTGCGCTCCAACAGTCATATACATTAATATCCCTGAGTCCAAAACAAACTCAATACGAGTCAGAGGACTTAGTGATCTAGACCAGCCATTTTCAACGGGAACCATATAGCTGTAGCAATGTGAAGCTTTTCCCGGGTTGCCTGTTGTGTAAAATACTAAATAAAATTAGCATCTTATGGTACAATTAGGGTTTGCTTTTAGTATGCCGATATGTACGTTGCATTTGTTTGTTTGACCCAACACGCGCGCGAGATACACACACGGCGCCACGGTTGGACTCAGCACGCCGCTTAATCGCGCGGTCCCTCATCCTTCCCTACCTAGGTTGTATCGTTCGGTGTCGTATATTTTGCCTGTACACGGGAACAGTGTACTCCACTTCACTTTCGTGCCTTCTCCTCAGTCATCGTGTACTGTACTTGCCAATAGTCCATCTCGAATACTTAAAGCTCTTAGCGTAAACCGGCCACTCTCACTACATTGGTAACTCCGATCGAGATCCTTTTCGTCACTACATTGATGACGACGATTCGAATCAATTTCACCAATGTATTGGTGACTTCGGTTGGAATTATCGCCATTTTTAGTGAGCCCGTTCTAGTTTTTCTTGGTCCATTACGTAACACCGTCCATTTTAACTTAATGGTTTTTGTTCACTGAACCATGGAATCAGTCTCTAAGGACGAGTAGACTGTTCATTCAGTCATACTGGTAGTTCCTCCTTTCATGAAGGTAGACACTGCCTTGTGGTTCATGATCTTAGTAGCAGCATTTGCTAATTAACGTATCACACGCGATTTAGATAATTTCAACACCTTGCTATCTCCTTTGCCCATAGATCGTTGTAACGCTGTGCAAGACACCGTAACAACGATGCACACCATCAGATATGTCTCATCTGCAACTACTCTTTTCCGGTTTGCAGTTTTGGAGTCAGAAACCATGGACACTTACTGGAATTGCGCCGTCTCCTACGAGGTTTCAGCATCGAATCTTTGCTTCAGATATTTTGGCTGCAACGTCTATGCCTGGTGATGGTTGCGCGGCAGCGAAGCGCCGTTACGGCGTACAGCTGACACATTATTATTATTTAGCCAAGTCCATGCCGCTATCGGAAATCGCAGACAGCGTACTGGTGGGTTACACTGAGCCACTTTGCGCCTCGTTTAGCATCGCCAGGCCAGTTGACGCGCCTCATTGGTTACAAACCGTGGCCCCATTAAACGACAGCGCAACCTACCTTCCTTCAACGCAGACCCTTTTGGACGAAATAGCCTCCTAAAATGAGAAGTCCAACGTTTAAGCCTAAACCAGCAGCAACGTAGTGTTACACACCGTTCATGTAGTCGCGCTCGCGGTACCCCTCGACGTTCTATCTGCCGTTACCACGCCTGTTTCGGTGGCGCTGCTAGCAATTGCGTCAAGCTTTGCATTTTCGCATGGAAAAAGAGCACGGGCTGAACAGTCTTGACAGACGTCGTCAGCTTCAGTCTGATAAAGGCCATATACAACGGTCAACCGACAGTGGCCTGGAACAAGCTGATCGACAAGTACTGTCGATTAACGTCGGTAGCGAGAATACCGCAAGTTGTCCATTCAAGATAACCGAT